AGGTCTTGTATATGATTTGAGTAATGACTAATCTAAAAGAATCTGAGATAGATAACAGTATTTTAAAAAAGGTTCCCAAAAATATTTTTTGAATTTTTGAGTGAAAAAAAAAAAATTTTAGTTGGTGGTACACCAAATAAGTATTACGTATGTAAGTCCAAGCAAAAAAATTTGAGCCACTGATCTTATACCTAATATAACTACATTTTATTACCTACTTGTACATTTTAATTTAACCGTTTTTATTTTTTGTAGGTATTTGAATGTGTTATGAATTGGATGAAGCATGCATTAGGTTGTAGATATGATAGTTTACCTAAATCAATAGAACACATACGCTTGCCATTAGCATCCTACGAATACATATCAAAAAAAGAAGCTGTGGAACCTCTTCTTAAAAATAGTCTTAAGTGTATGTATTTCATAGGTATTTCTTAGTCTTAAGTTTAATCTTTTAATATAATTGTAATATTTTTAGGTAAACAGTTAGTAATTGAAGCTTTAGATTTCCATACACTTAAGGCACAACAGCTTATTACCTCTCCACAAACAATATGTAGTACACCAAGACTTTCTGGACATAAAGTATGATTCTGTTTTCATTAATTTATCTTTACAATTATCTTTACAATTCCATCAGGTAGTTCTATTGTTATGTTTTTCATTAACATTGAAAAAGTATTGCACAAACTGGTATGACCCAACAACCAACTTATTGCAAACTCCACTTAAAATGAGTAAAGAGTATTCTTTAAGTGTTCTTGCTTTAATAAAAGATCATTTTGTAATTGCTTTGGGTGATGAATGTGGATCAAGAGCTGTTGAAATGCTTGATTTGTCATCAGAATCACCATGCTGGGTATCTTTGGATGACATGTTAGTTAGTCGAGAATGTTTAGGAGTTGGTGTAATTGACGATTGCTTGTATGCTGTAAGTATTACCAGCATATTACTTTATTATCAATAATTTGTATTATATTAATTACTACCTAGGTTGGAGGATCGGATGATACTGGTATTTTAAATAGTGTAGAGGTTTTTGATGTTAATATTCAAGAATGGCGAATGGTATCTAGTATGTTTACTATGAGAAGTGATGCGGGTGTTGGAGTACTCAATAATCTTCTATATGCAGTTAATAATTACATTTTTTTGTTATAAATTTGTTATATTATATATAATTAAATTGTGTAGGTGGGTGGTTATGACGGTTCATCGGCTTTGAAATCAATTGAATGTTATGATCCCAGTGTTGACACATGGACACTAGGTTCAGAAATGTCTGTACGTCGCTTTGGTCCTGGGATAGGAGTCTTAAACGATGAAATGTATGCTATCGGTGGTCATGATGGACAAAAGTATCTAAGAAGTGTTGAAGTCTATAGTGAAAGTGCTGGTGTTTGGACCTCCATTGCTGATATGCACTTATGCCGATTCAATCCTGGTGACTACCAATATTATTTTTTTGTATTAAAATCTTTGTAAAACTGTATTAAATTTAAATTAAATTTTTAATATAGGAGTATTCACATTACATGGTTTATTGTATGTTATTGATGGAAGCCACGAATTCACTCATTTGGATTCTTTAGAAATATACAACCCAAAAAGTAATACCTGGTCCATGAAAACATTATCAAAAATTGCCGGAGATATTTTTGGTGGAATAGTCATCGATAAGCCACCACTTTTCAGAACCACTTAGCATAGGTATTGTGTTTTTATTTCTGCTGTTGAAATGCTTAAATGTCATAAATATAACAAATACATAAATAAGTAAAAATAAAATATGGTTTATTAATAACATTACCAAGTCAAAGCAATCCTGCACAATTTATAAGTCACTAAAGATATAGGTGAACACTAAAATGACTTCTCTTACTAGACATATTAGATGCCATTTATTTTGATCAGTATTGAAGTTAAAAACCTTTGCACTATTCAAATAAATATTATTATTATAACCATAACAATTATAATTTGATATAATACCAACCTATACCTTGTATTTAATACATATATTAGCATAACTTGCAGCATTTATACAACTATTTAATGCACCAACTACAAAATAGAATTAATAATAGAAGAGATACAAATATATATACATTATATATAGAATACCTGTATATTTCTTTCAATGGCCATGATTTTGCCAGAATACACCTAACTCTTTTATATTAACATGATCTGTATTGCTTTCTTTGGAACATGCATACATTGAACAGGATTATGGAAAATTAGATCAAATTGATGTCCAAAAACTATTTTCCCATCATATGTTTCTAACCTAATTTCACATAAGAGTATAATACTTAGTTACTAAAATCAAAAATTTGTTACTGAAACCTGTTTGGGCCTTAAAATATGGTTAATTGATAAACTATTATATTTATTGTGCAGTAAATACATTTTAAGTTCATAAGGAGTATAAGAACACTAAGAACTCATACAAATATTCTGAATAATCCATTAAGAAACTCACAAGTTATTATAAATGAAGATAAGGGTTGAAAGTACTAATAAGCAATTAAATATTAATAATGTACCTATAATCTACATAGGTACCTATCAGGCATATTGTATTGTGTATGGTAGGTATTAAATATTAATACAAAGTACATCACATTCCAAATTATGTGGGTACTAGAATAATAGATATTTATTACCTACTTAAACTAACAGATTAATTAAAACTGTGAATTTTAAGTTCTATACCCACAATATAGAAATTAAGTTGTTTTTTATAAAATTATAAGAAATGAGAAAGCCCATTACTCAAGGGTACCATGGTGCCATATTTCTAGTGCTGCAACAATTAGTTAGGTACCTATGCAAGATGAGCAATGGACAGTTGCTTTCAGCTATTAAAAGCATCTAAAATTTCTAAAATTAAAAATTTTATTGTGTAGGTATAGTAAAGTATAATAATATACTCCCTTAAAAGTTAAAAACCTTCCAAATATTTTTGAATTACAATGTTATTATAGAAAAAAAAATCTTAATATTAATAATATATTTTATATATTTATATTATTAAATGTTTGCATAAAAAATTGGTCAAAAACGTTTAATTTAACTATTGGAATATTTTTCGTATCATCACGATTCACGATCACGATATTATTTAGAGCAGGTCATAACTATAACGTATGAACGTATACCTATTATACCTATACCTACTAAGTTTAAATATTGAAAGCTACATACTCAGATATATTTTCTTACCTATTACATAATATTGTAGTTTACTTGAAATCTGTTACACTTATAGTACATTCTAATTTTGACTAGTATTCTAGTTTTATCGATTTTCCTTCAAATTTCAAGTAGGTAGGTACTATTTATTCAACATGTTTATCAGTCTATACTATACCTATTTGAACAAGTTTATTATGGGTCTATGAAGCTATACCTAACAACGTTACAACGTCGACATAATCGTCATAATAAATTATAGTTTATTATATTTTTATGTGTTCGACAATTGACATCTAACAACCCAGCCACTATGATACTTTATAGCAGTATAGCATCGAAAGCCGAAAAGTGCTTTTCAACGGAAAATTCCATTTTTGCGCAGCGTGTTTGAGCTACTAATGAGCAATCAATCGTATATTTTATAATCAATGCATGATAATGAACATTTAAAGTGTGGCAACTCTACGTAGTGTGAAATAGTCAGAATACAATTAAATTATGTATTTATGTCTATGGTAATTGTGGATATCCGTGGTTGGGCGACAACCATATTTTTTATATACTCGTCAACGGTTGGGGGAGTCACCTCATCGGCTCATCATATTATCCCGATGTCCCATTTCTTTAACAGTTTAATTGTGTTGTACTGTTTTCTGACTCTTGTGCGTATTGTCTGAAACTTTCATTTATAGTATTTGGTATTGTTCAGACGACGTACTGTCTACTGGACGCGATGACTGACAGACCACCAAGACGTAATGGCAGGTTTCATAATGTCCATCAAAGTGAGCATAATATCGTAGAAACTAGAAATCGATGGTTTTATGGGGTTTGGGCGGTGGTGGAGTTCTCGTAAAGCTCGGCCTAACAAGAATTTGGCCAACCTAATATCTTCCACTAGCGCGTGCTTACTGTTAGCATTCAATCTCAATATTGAAATATATGTGCCACTCGGCATCCCTCAGGTACCTTAGTACGTGACTAGGTACCTTAAGGAGATTGGAAGCGGTGATTTTCTATATTTGTCTAGCACAAGTAGAACATAATATTATAAGAATTTAGACGGGTTTTCAATTCGATTGATATAGGGAAGCGATGAGTAATCAAAAAACAGATTTGAATTTGTTGTCATGTTTACTTGACTTGATCGACTTTTCCAGCTTTTTAATTTTTTGATTTTAACTTTTACAGTAAAATTCAAATATTCCATTTCGTTTTTTATACGATTTTGTTTTTGGAATTTAGAGGGATAAAATCAAAAATGTGGGAAAGTCGATTTCAACTATTTCAAGTAAACAGTTAACACGATATCACATTTAAATCTGTTTTTAGAATTCTCATGGCTTCACTAGATCAATCGACAATCGGTACGTTGGAATGAATACACGTCCAACTGTCCAAGTTCCTATGTTCCACATATAAAATCGCCACTTTTAATCCCCTTGACAAAAAAATGTGTTATTTTATCGATTCTGAATAAAATATATTCATAAGTAGGACCGACATCTCAAACATGATGATTATATTGGAGTAGTGCGTATTCGTTTCATTTGTTTTCAGTTTCACTCTACGCGTTTCGGTTTCTTGACGGCTAGGACGGAAACGGCAGTCTGGATTTTAATTCGACTGATCCTAATATTGATCCGATTAGATATAAAACTGGGTAGGTACAGTGCACATTCACGCGGCCCTGTGACCGACCGGAACGAGTGCATTTGTGTTAACTGGATAGAGACCACTAGGGTCTAGCGATCGGATCCGGTAGCCGGCAGGTGTAGTCAGCGACTTCTTATTATACTTGACTGGCAACGTCTGTCCAAAGAGTAGTTATCCTCATCTCCCGACCTAAGTATATAAACTACTATAATATTAGTTATTACCACGATTCTATAGAACTAAATAAACTTAATAAAGTTTCTCATGATCGTGGATATTAATTTATTATAACCTGTCTACTATCGACTATCGAGTATCGACCGTGTGTTATCACTTATGCGCCGCTCATCGACCATTTAAGACGCGATCACCGCGACGAATGATAAACTTTCATAGGCTACAACTTCGAAACAGTCGAAACCAAGTTCGACTTCCAAATTCTAACTTCACCATAGTTTTCAGTGTATCTAACTGCGTAAGTTTTTCAAAATAAAGGTGGTCTGGTGCTATTTGCAGGTAATTTTTCTACAAATCTTCAGATGTTTTATAGGTACTAATTTGATTTTAATAAATGTTACAAATAAATAATAGAAATACTCAGTTTTGTACGACCCACCAAATATATTTCATAACATTGGTTTGTTATCTTAAACTATACTTCAAAAGTTCAAACAACAAATTAATGAAAACCATTTTACGGAAACATTGAAATTATTTCTTTGAAAAAAATTCAGTGAAATTTTCTACTTCAAAGTGTAGTTTAAAATATCAGTTATAAATTATACATTTTATCTAAGAAATTTATGTTGCCAATGAACAAACCAAAAACGTTTTTGTTCTCAAAAAAAGTTACTTTACATGTTAATGTTGAAATTCATTTATTGAAAATTGAACGCATTCATATCCAACACAAAAACCAATGTGTTCATCTGATTCGTGATCACATTATTTTCCAACTCTGATAATATACAAAATTTTAAATTTTAGATAGTGAACATTATGATAGAACATCAATGTCTCTAAGACCTAGCACTAGTCGAGGAGATGGTGGATACTCTGATCGTTATGGTTTTAATAAAAAGATGATATTTAAACCAAATGATCGTGGAGATAATCATTTTCGTAAGAGTTGGAATGGTAAAAATGACTTGGTCCATGATCAACTGAAAAATAAATTTTCAAATCGAAATGGACCACCTAGATATCACACTGGTCGACGGTATTTATATATTATATAATAATTTTTGTTAGTTGTTACTATTTCTAACATCAAATAATATACCTATGAATGTGAATATTTAATAGATCTTTTCCTGAAAGAAATCATCGTTATGGTGGTCATGGTAAATACAAAAACTTATCTTGGTCTTTAAAAGAAAGTAGCACTGGATGGTATTCAGTATTTGTAAGTTCTAATCTTTAGTTGCCTATGGCACATGTTTAAATTATAATTATTCTGGTTTTTAAGGTGCCAGATGTTGAAGATAGTGATGAAGTTTTAAAAATAATACAAACTTATATCACACCGGTTGTATTTTATCCATATAATGTATGCTATTTCTTTGCTATTTGTATACTTTTAGAATACATTAAAATAATCAATATTTATCTTACAGAAACAATATTTTGATAATGCATTAAGATTTCTTGTTGATGATAGTGAAGTTGCTAAAGCATTGCACAACGCTAGTTATAAGATAATACAGAGAAATGATCGAAAAGTAAGTTGAAATTGTTCAGTTGTAGTAATGTGAAAGAGTTTTTAAATTTATTTTAACATTAATATTTATGTTTAGTTAACTATAAAAGTGTCATTATATTTGCCTCCACGTGGTCCTATATTATTCACACCAGTATCTAGTGAAGCAAAAGAGAAAATGATGGAGGCCATGGAGACTCGTTACAATCCTAGTAACAAGAGCTTGGATTTGTCAAAATTTTATGCATGTCCACGTAAGTAAACGTTTATTTTACATTAAGTCATTAATAGTCTTAAAAGAAATATGGAAAAACATTTTTATTTTTGTTTTAGTTTTTACCAATAATCATCTGTTTATATCATTAAATCGACCAGCAGTTCTCTTGGCCGCACTTAACATGGTTGCTCAACATACCAAGCATGACTTGTACGGCTTGAGTCTTGAAAACAATCACATTTATCTAGGTGAAAGTCTCAAATGGATACGTAGGTTGTTCCCTGAACTGAAAGTGTTGAATTTGGCTGGCAACAAAGTAAAGTGTTCTTTATTTTTTTTTTTTTTATAAGATCAATATGCTAAAATAATTTTTATTGCAGTTGTCTGATTTAAAAGAACTTAAGTGTCTCTCAGGTTACACTATTGAAGTGCTGAACTTGTCCAGAAATCCCATGTGTGTTACAAAGAATAAGGAGGGCTACAGACGGTATGCATATTTTTTTTTATGCTTCAGTCTTAACACCACTTAACATATATTTATACTATCCATATTCTAGGGATGTACAAAAAGTTTTTCCTATGCTAAACAAGTTGGTAAGTGTTATCTATTGTATCTTATTCTACTTGCACACTAAGTGTTAGCAAGGAACCTCAAGACCAATGTTTTTGTCATACTAGCTTAACAGTATTATGATTATTATTGGTGTGTATTCTAAGTAGTGATACATTCTGGAGAGGAGAAGTGAGTGGGTTGTAACCACCCCCAAAAATTGTTAAATTATAACAACATTTTCATTAATAAATTGTTTTTAAATACAATTTGTCAAAAAAAATTTTAACCACCCCCCCTCCCCAAAAAAAATAAAAATAAAAGTGGATACTCCACCGATCTAAGGCATGGTGTCTACAACTCAAACTCTAAAAGTAAGTACAACATACCTGGTTTAAATTTCAAATTAAAATTACATCATGAATTGCCATGGCTATGACAAACATAAGTTTAATTCAGTTATATTAGAAAAAAATTTTTCACATTGTGATGTAATTGGTGTTTGATTAAGTGTAATTCTTAAACACATTATTTATTATAATTATACTAGCATGTATTTTATATATGTGTAATTGTAGTTTTATTGGCAAATACTGATATATTTTAATGTTTTATTTATGCTTTTAATTTTTAAACAAAATACTGAGTTGTTCCTTATGTTTTTTGGATGATGGATGTTTGTTGTAACTACAATTATAATAAATATTATAACTTGATAGCATTAAAAAAAATGTTTATAGCTTTTATTTATTATCTTACCCAACATAAAGACCCGTTTACACTTATCAAAAACTTATCAAAGTAGCCACGTCCGTGAACCACAGATCAGTGTAACTTTAATTCGAGCACTGACGTCAGTGTTTACACTGTCAAATTTTCTCTGTCCAAGTAAAATATAAAATAATAAAATGTTCTCCCCAGGTACGAGAATTTTGATACATGTCCGTTCTGGCACGGATCAGACAACACGACTTGTACGAGTTTGTCACACGTACGCGTGGTGTGTTTATATTATCAAAGTAGAATCCATGCCACTAATTTGTAGTTCATGGACATGGCTACTTTGATAAGTGTAAACCGGCCTTAAGCGTGTAGTACTTAAAACAAGAAAAAAAAATATTTAATGAACAAACTTTCCACGTTTTAAATTATATTTATATTTATTAAGTTGTGCCAATGTTCACTGTTGAAAATGTAGGGTGACGCTGTTTAATTGTTCTCAGGATAACTCAGATCTGCCATCTCTGTACAGTTCGATTGTTGGATTCAAGTTTAAAATGCCAATTAACTTAGGGAATTGTTATCCAATACCAGAAGGCCATAATCCTGAACTGCCAAATCCAGTAATGACTTTAGTAGAATCATTTCTCTCCAAATATTATGAACGATACGATAACGAAGTGTCTAGACAAATGGTTTCGGAAGCTTACAGTGAAAATGCCATATTTACATTATCCAGTTGTTTTATACCTAAAAAGTAGGTTATATAATATACCTAACAAACAAAATTCAGTTAACTAATTGTAATTGTGTTTAATTTTAGGAATAAAGGTAGTTTGTCAAAGTACCTACCTGAAAGTAGAAATTTTTTGAAATCTGATCAAAAAAATGAAATCAAACATCGTTTGTTACATAGAGGCAGGGAAAATATAATGCACTTTTTAGACAAGTTACCTAAAACCAAGCATGATCATGGCTCATTCATAGTTGATGTTCCATTGGCAACTGTGGGTATCATATTTTATTTTATTTTATTTTAATAATATATACACACATGGTCCTTTAAACAGATATTTTCAAAATTTTTTTTTTAGACTTCAATGGTTCAGATTGTCCTAAATGGTGTGTTTGCTGAAGGCTTTAAAGAAACCAACTGTAGGAAAATATGTCGATCATTTTGCAGAATATTCTGTATAGTGCCAGTTGGAAGTGGTTTGAGTATAATTAGCGATATGTTTTTTATTACCACAATCAATGAAGATTTATTAATAGTAAGTGAATGTTTGTTTTTTTTTCATCTTTTAGTTATAGAATAGTTAGTATATATAGTATATTATGTTTCTATAGAAATATTTTGTATTTTAGGAGACTTCAAAACGACTCCATGTTTTTAAACCAAAACCAGTTTCATTAAAAAGGAATAATTTAAATGGCAGTAGTAACCAAAATATAACAATGTTTATAGAGGATACAGATGGAATAGAGTCATCATCATCTTATCAGCAACAACCCACATTTTCATTTGATCGGTCTTTACCAGTGATGACTCCTATAAATCCACAGCGGCCTTCTTACCAAGAAGGCATGCAGACATCTACTTCACAGATCCACCAAATAGCGCCTTCAGCAACAGTAAATTTCCAACCAGACTTGCCACAGCAATCAACTGCCTCATTTTCTATGCCCAACACAACAACTGTTTCAACAACTAAATTTCCTACTATAGATCAATTGTCGACTGAAGTGCCTGTAAATTCGATTAAGTATGCCAATCCCGATAAGTTGACTATGATAAAGAGTTTCTCAAATGAGTCTGGGATGAATAAAGAATGGGCTGAAAAGTAAGACATGACTTATATTTCATTCTTGTTTATCACAATATTGAAAGTGGGAGTATTGTTTGAAATATTGAAGTATTTGTTAACTATGATTTGAAAAGAATGAGAAATGTCTTAAATTCTTTATCTTATATTTACAATTTTATAACAATATCAAACGCACCTTCAAAATTGTTTCGCCCACTAGATAACTTTATTGTGTTTTTAATATTTTATTTATTAATCTATTTTTTATAGATGTTTAGAAGAAAATGGCTGGGATTATATTAAAGCTGCTTCAAGTTTTTCACACATGAGATCTTATATTCCAACTCTAGCTTTCATAAATGAATGAGTATAATTTGATATAAATGAGTTTTATACAAAACACAAAGAGTGCTACTTTAGATGTCATGATGTTGACATTGTGTATATAGTTGTTTTGGTTATTTTTCTGTTGTATAATGTTAATTACATAATATTCACTTGCTATTATAATAAATATTTTATTTAGTTTTTTAGATTTTTGGTCTAAAAAAATGACAAATATACAAATAATTAGAAGAAAAAATATTTAGTAAACAGACATGCATAAAAACCTAACCTTGAGATTGTTTTTCATATGGACTAAGAACTTTAACTAAAATTTGAATAAGTAATTTGAATAAATTGGTTTTGATTGTTTGACCAAAACATTCCGGCCTTTAGGGGGGTCTAATTTGTAACCACAAAGCAGGGTGGGAACACCTGATTAGAGATCTAAGAGTGGTGTAGAATTGGTAAGGGGACTTGGATGGAATTGATAGGTTTTTAATTCTGAGCTGAGCAATGAATGTACTTTTATTGATTTTATAATATGTTTTTTTTCGAGTCAGTATACACGAAAAATTATCAAAGATATTATTTGATTTTCAACTTTACGGGTGGTTTCTGGTAGATCAAGTTGATACTCTTAAAAGGTCAAAATAGAAAATTCCTCAGTTTTTTTTTTTTTTCAAAAGCTTGAGAAAAAACTCAAAAAATGTTATATGTAATATGCATTACCAGTTTTTGCAAAATCCATTTAGGTTTTTTATAGTAACTCAAAATCAAATAACTTGACATACTATACATTTTCTCAAAATATTTTGACTATTTTTAACTTAAAATTTTCAATTTTTTTTTCTATAAATAATGATAAAAAGTTTTCTGCTTGGTCAAAGTTTAAAAATTTAAAACAAGATTCCTCATGTTTTTCTACCTTAAACAAAAGAAAAAAGTGACAGGAAAGTGAATTTCATCTTTTATAAGTATTTGAAGTAGGTACACATTTTATTGTCATTTATTATAAAACTTTAGCATTATAAAGATGTGATATCATGAATAAATGCCAAGTAAATTAAATTAAAAATACAATTATTCTATCGCAATAATTTATTCACTTTGCTAGAATTTATTTCGACGAATTAACATGTCTTTTCATAACTGGCCTTTCTAATAAATTTCTATTACAAATGTTACCAAATTTGTTTTGTGAAAAGGTCTTAATTATTAATTTATAAATCAAATAAAGTAAGTAAATTATTGAGATGGAATAAATGTATTTTAAATGTAATTTACTTGGCATTTATTCATGATATCACATCTTTATAAGGCTTAAGTTTTATAAATGACTATTTTTTTTCAACTTGGCAATTTTTTACGCGGAGTTCAACGAAGTGTTTTTGTTGAGATATCAGTAGTTTTTTTTATAACATATTTTTATTAAAGCGACCGGCAAGTAATATGATTTGCAGGTTTTTCATGTTTGTAATAATTGATTATTATATTATTGTGTTTGTTCATTTAAATATTCAATTTTTTTTTGCATTATTATAAAACAGTAACACACACATCTTAACCCCCTCGAGGCCATCGTTCAAAATGTATTGAAGTGTCATTACATCGTAGCTATTTATTTTGATGAATACTAAACAAGTTTAATGGGATTCATTCATAGATGGACCATGGTAGTTTCTGTTGATTCACTTAAGAATCCATTTTAGAAAAATGGAAACATTAAAAAATATCTATTTAATATTTGTTTTTATAATTACAACAAATAACACGTGCTTACAGCTTTCTATATATTACGGCACGGCGGCCAAAATACTCATCAACACTGAATGTCAGCCGAGCAAGGGCGTCCGCAGGACATTGTCAAAGGGGGGGGGGGGGGTTAATTTTTAATTTTTGTTTCAATATCTGAATAGTGATGACTGATGAAGTACCTACCTTATTTGTTTTTGACGTGTTTTCTATCATACAAGTAGGGAACTTAAAAATTAAATTATTAATAATGTGTATAGTTAGAACGTTTGAACTGAATCTTAATTTTACAGTATTAGTTGTAATTAATTAAAACTATGACTTGTGTTTCTATTTTTTCACACATTATACCATAACATACACTCCTCAACCAAATTATCAATTGCATAAAAATTATTTATTTCTACTAACATGTTTTTAAATTCATCATGCTGCATTTTTTTCATATTATTCGGATGTAAATTTAATAAAGAATGAGCAGCACTGTTTTCATTAGATAATCTTAGCTATAATTGCATCTACATATGGTTGGTAAAAGAAAACTTTAAAATAATCTTCAGAAGTATTTATTGGATGATTTGAACGATGCTTTTGGTTAGGAACAATACGAGGAATTTTAATTTCTTCTCCAAGCTTATTTGCAACATTTTAATTTTTAAGCCTTTTTAAAAATCTCATGAATATAATTATTCGCATCCAGGTTGTTAAATACTTCAATAATTTCACTAATATATTTTCGAGCTTGAACTTAATATTATATTATCGGAAATAGCACCGCTGCGTTGTTCGACGTTGCCGTCACGTCCGTCGTCGTCATTCGGGAAAAATAATTAATACACACTAAAAATAGTTACGCAAAATCCAAATATACCAACATTGATTAATGTTTATAAATAGTATTAAATACTAGTTGTATTTTAGTATTTATTATCAACGGACTATGATACCAATGAAATCACGAGATCCTACTAAATAGTAAATATTCATTATTCACATTATTATAAAAGTCGAAACCGTGAATCGAAAACCGATGACCCAATGGTTAATACACCCATAAAAATTCACATAACATTTGTCGACTATGCGTTGACCGTGGCGCTCAACGTTCCAAAAAATGTTTTTAATTTAAAAATTATTTATTTTATGATATTTTATACTACATACACAGAATAAATATTCTGTGCTACATAATGGTTATGAATTTATGATAAATTGACCCATGAAAAAGCCAAGGGGGTGGGGGGGGGGGCTGCAAATGCTCCTACTTATTTATGTGGACGATTATCATTTATTATTATTAAAAAATATGATTATAATAACGAGTATTTAATAGTAGTCACTGGTAACTAGTAAGTAATTAGTAATTTTTATGTATGAATTATGAAAATAATGAATGTTTTTTAATAATATACCCATTATATTAATTGCATACTGCTACCTAGTTGATTTTCTTCACTGGCGGAGTTTACATGCACTCTAGTTTACGAGTTTACCCGTTTTTTTCCTGGCTTTGTTTCCATGAACCTAATTTTACCGGCTTATTTTTCCCGGTGGAGTTAACAGTAAAAAATGGTGCTTGTGGCGGAACTTACATAATAGGCGTATAATTTATTAAACCACATACTCATACACTGCGGTGTGGGTGTATTTTTACCTCTGCAGACCTGCTAGCAACGGAAAGGGCTAGAGTTCGGGTTCGCCTGGACGACCAGACCGACGTCGTCCCGAACACCGTGAAAAACCAAGAGAGAATAGTCGGCATTGCAGCTTGGCAAGAGCTCGGCGGGACCGGTCTGATAAAGGCAGATGGACATACCGGCTCCTCCCTGACGTCGGGCGCTGGTCAGCGAAGCCCCCGCTAACCCTGACTTTCCGACTGACGCGGGTGCTTTCAGGGCACGGGTACTTCCGGAGCTACCTGAAGAGGTTTAACCGGCCGGACGACAGTTATTGCGTATACTGCGTCGACCCCGACGACACTGCTGAGCACACGGTTTTTACCTGCCCGAGATGGATTGACGACCGCGTTCGAATGACTGAGATTATGAGGCGATCGCTGAACGCGGGCGACGTTGGGAAATCCTGCGTGGTCCCCTGTCACAAGACTTGCTAGGAGACGCCCAAGCCCGAAGGAGAATTATCAAACAGTTCGAAACTAATCGCCTGGAGTTCATCCGCATGGCCGAGACGATTCTGTCGACCAAGGATACGGATGAACGCGAGAAAGAGGCCTTGCGAAGGGCACGGGGGAACTTGCGACCGCCCTGATGGAGAACGAAACATCCAGAGTGGTGGACTCCGGTCGGCTCGCCAATCGGATGACAGGCACGCGAATTCAAGGGCGGCGGACTCCGGTCGGCCCGAGAAGGACAGGAAGAAGTCAAGTAAAACTTGTAATGCATAAAATTCAGATTGACCTTTGTTAATGTAAAATTTAATTGTTAATGCAAAACTTTGAAAATGCTTGAACGAGGTAAGTCGGGGAGCTGTCCCGTCTGCCTCCCACGTATGTATTAATATTTGATACTGTCAATAAACGATGGCGGCGCCGCGGAAGCAATGCGAAAGCAGATCCCGCGGCGTCGTCGGTTAAAACGGAAAAAAAAAAAAGGTGTATTTTTACCTGATCGTCAATGTATTGAAAAGGGTATTCAGAAAAAAAGTCGAATAAAAATTTTTCATAAAATTACAGTGTTTGAATATTTTATTTTTAGTTTTTAACACGGTTGGTCATACTGTACAGCAACCTAACCAGCAATGTCACCAACGTGTAAAAACATTCTACATTATTTACAGTGATGCCCGAGTAGTCGCCCGCCACGCTGAGACAAAGAAACGAAATATTAATTGTCGGCTAAAATACGGTTCAAATAAAATACTTGTCTGCTGAAATACGGTTCTAAATAAACTTTTTTACGTTATTATTTTTCGGCTGAAATATGGATCGGCCAAAATGTTTTCGTCCATTTCACGCTCTCCCGATAGGGGAATAAATGCACTTTACCACCCCCTCACAATTTTCGATTTTATTTTTTTGAAACTAATATAATATATTAGCTATTTAAGAACGATGGTTCGGAAGTTTATCGGTCGGACTTAGTTTTGAAGTTATAGGCTTTGGAAGTTAGCAATTTTTCGTTTTTTACGCATGAGCGCAACGCTGCGTTTATCATGTCTTTTACGATTCTTTTAATTTTTTTTCTTGAAACTTGGGTATGTTAATGAGTTATTAACGATGGTGTGAGAAATTATCAGTCGGTCTTCGTTTCGAAGTAGTCAATTTTGAAATGGGAAATTTTGTGTTTTTAAGCATTTTATAAATATGATTTTAGTTATTTTAGATATTTTATTATGAAAATTGATATTGGTATACAATTAAAATGTCATTACACCAAGTGGTGCGTTCTAATGAAGTTAACTTCTCGTGTCTGTGCTCTGTATACTAGATTTTTTTTATTTAATATGGAAAAATATAATTTAATTAAAATTTTCAAAATTTTTAATTGTAAGTAAAATGATCCTCTCAATTCAAATTCAATTGAGCAGCTCCAGAATTGGTTTCTTATCCCAAAAGAAGGTGATTATTTATGTCCTAGAGCCTAGGGGGCATAAATTACAACTCGTAGAACGAAATCATGTTAAAAGATACGTATTCTTGGAGGTAAATATGCACACATTTAATGACACTTTTTAGTTTTAACCAAAGGAACAAATCCTATATTAATTATATTTATATATATATAATAATATGATATCCCTCGACTTGCTATGCAACACAATCTTAAGTAGGTCACAGAGTAAGTTATGTCGTAGAATGAAATACATATGTTTCCCCAAGATATAATTTAAAAATTTGTTATAAGAGCAAAGAGCGGTGAAATAGAGCGTCGTGAGTATGAGTAATAATATGAGTAATAAACACCGAAAATCGTTAACTCCGAAATGAACAAGAGATAAGGAAATAAGAAATTAAATTATAAATTAAAATAATATTTGGATTACGCCTATTTTGCCGGTCCAATAATAGACACACTCAAAAACACATCTACTGCAGGCCATAACGCAAGGACGATTATTTGTTAATAATGATAAACAATATTTAATATATTTAATATCTACACAGAAATAGTTTTTAAAATGGCTATTTTTATACCTCCTCGAACGAAAATTTTTTGTAATTTCATCATGTTCGACAAAAATACTTTATTTTATGCACACATTACAATTTTCATAACGTATAATATATTTTTCATTCCAACCATTTCAATACGAGTTACTTTTTCGTCCTTAGGTGTGGAATTTATCCCGAAACTTTCTCCCCCACTTGTACGCAACTGCTTTAAGCAAAACTATTACGAAATGTCCGGGAAAACACACAATCTGATAATAATATCCCGACGGCCGACACCAGACCCATTTTGTGGTCAGGGGGGGAGAACCCTCCCAACCAATAGTACGACAGCGCTTCCAGTGTTAATCTGTCCTGAAATATTGGTAATAATAGTATTAATAATTGTTATTTATTATTTAATTCATTAATGTCATTTGCGTTTTTACTGTTTGGTTGTTTGGACATAGTGTTTTTGACTTATTGTAAAATTGTGCCCATTAACTGTTATCAAAAGTCTGCGCATTATCGTATTTGTCATTTATCCGGTTATTAAATTGTATTTTCTTCAGTGATCGTAGTATTATATTTTCGGTTAAAGTAACGCTGCACGTGTCCATTTCGATCATTGATCATAAAATCAGTAGTCGTCACTCCTCGAGGTGCTGTCCAGACTATTTTTGGTAGCTAATAGCCATTTTTTGTCACGCAACATTCAGTGCCATATAATATTACTTCGGTATTTTGTTCTTCTCCTTGTGTGATGGACTCTATTGAATTAATACGCTTTAATTATTAACATTGCAGGTGTATCACAGGCCGATTGCTGTCAATAATTTGAAGTAAACTACATCAATTGTCATTAAATCAGTAAGAAAATACATCTATACTTATTACATTTTGATTAAATATACATAATATATTATTTATACATTATTATTTAAAATATATTTTACGAAACAACTTATCGTGGCTGACTAACTGACTGACTGACTGACTGATTGACTTCTATGATGTATCATCACCTAGCTGAAACCGCCAAAGTTATATGTATGACATTTTATCTGTATTTTCGTTTTATGATGTAAAGACCCATTAAGAGAAGATTTTTCGAAATTTACATTTTAAAAGGGTCCTCAAACAAGGATTAACGGTTACAATTGAAAATTTTTGTTATTTATAAATGGTTGCTATTAGATACTCAGTCGGACTAGGTACAATTATGCATAAAATTATCATGTCTACATTGGTCTTGATTAAAGAAACTACATCTTATAACCTAGGTTTGTTACTGCAGCTTATATAAGTACTTAAAAACTACTTAATTAATATTGACGAAAATCTCATAGATTGTTTTTGGAGATCAGAAGTAGATCAGAGTAATTTTTAAAAATACGTCAAATTATTTCATAAAACTAAGGGGGCTAGACCTAAGGTAGGTACACTGACGTTGATTTTCCCTTGGACTGAGGTATACTTGAAATACACAAAATGCTCTTTGACAAAGCCTGGGTATTTAGTTATTAGGTAATATAATATACCATTACCTATGGAGAATGGGCCACCATTCATGGTGTCTGAAAAATATTGTAATCTTGATGGTATACTATTATCATTGGTTATATAATATAATATCCAATTCTATGATAAATCAATGGTATTATAATTTATACAAATTTGTTATAATGTTATACACTTTTGACCAAAGTTTGATGGTTATATTTTAATAGTATAATTTTGAAGGGTAATTTTCTGTTATCCCTACTACCACTCGATGCCGCGACTACCGTGACCACTCGATTCTGTTATCTAGACTACTAAAGTAATATCCAGATAGTTCTATATTTTAAAACATAAAACACATGAATTGACATTTATATAATAATGTATATTAGTATGTCCTCAAAATTATCACTAAACGTCAAGTTACATATTCAAAAATTATCACAACAGTTGAAAGTCTATTCTATAAATTATAACATTAAACATAAATTCATCAAGATATTAAATATTACATATAAAAATAAAAAATCACGGTCACAGAAGTCTAAAATTATATTTTTGCATTCACGGTGCCCCGGAAGTAAACCCTTCTCTTGAAAAAATTCAGTCGCATCTTTGTCACTGTTTGGTAAATTCCACAGATTCATAATAATTTTAAAATAAATAAATACAATGACAGAAATACAACAACTGTCAGCAATAGGTAATCGAGCGAGTTGTGGTCACAGCATCGGCGTGGTAGTTGAGATAACAGAATGGAGACTCGAGGTAGTAGGGATAACAGAAAAGTACCTTTTGAAGTATTAATAAGTGTTAATAATTTGAAGAATAATATTCAATTTTATTGTTATTACCTCCAAACTCTGGACTAATAATGGATTAACTTACAAACAAAAGGACTTATTATTAAAACAAATTTTAATTACAATATCTTATTAATATTAATAGAAATAAACATGGTGCTGAAGATATTTAGAAGCACCATATTTAATATATTGAACATTCTTACTATAATTACTAATTTTATAAGTTGTGTACAACTTTTAGATCAAATGTTTAATAAATTAATTTTCTATTAATTAAGTTGATTCTAGCTTGTATTTAAGAAATTGAAAAATGAATACAAAAGTCAATCACATTATTAGTTGCCTATTATTTCAGCCATTTATTATCTTAGTAATTACTTAACAGTTTAATATTCATAGGAATTATTTAACTGGTCTTTACTTTACTCATTTTAAACAATAAAGTATTTCCGGTAATGACCTTTATGTTCTATTTAAAGAAACCAAAATGATAACACACTAACATAGGCTGACGGCTGTTGCTTGTTTACCCCATTGGCCATTAGTCACCCAATCTGGCAGTATACAGTTGACACTTGTCGATCATCACAGCGAATGACAATATGTTTTGTCTGTTATCTGTAGTTTATTATTCAGGTGTAGTGTCTAATACTTAAGACCTGTAAGACTTTTGGTACCATATCTAATTAATATTGTAATTGTGATATGTTTAATATTTTAAGAGCACTATTACCATTTTAAAAGGTTTTATATTCATAACAGAAATGGATTCATTATGTAAAAGTGATCAAATGGAAGTTATGAATTCCGATGTAAATGCAACAACATTTTATGAAAATAAATCTCACACGGTTAAGGTATTTGAGGTCCTACAATCATTACGCAAGTATGCCATTAGTTGATAATTTAGCAGCTAGCAAAATAAATATTAATAATGAGTTTATTTTTAGGGACAAATTTTTATGTGATATTAAGTTAGAAACTGATGATGGTGGAGTGGTATGCGGACATAAAGTTGTTTTATTATCTGCTAGTAATTATTTCCGTGCAATGTTCACTAGTTTTGGGGAAAGGTATGAAGATGCTGTTAAAATAAGATATTTAGATTCCTACATTTTACAGCTATTGGTGGATTATATATACACTGGTAAAATCATGGTCAGCAAAAAAAATGTACAGGTATATACATTTTTTCATATTTATTGTGGGTTTTTATAAAAATGAGTAAGATTTTGTTTTTATTGATTTCTTTAGGTTTTGTTACCAGCTGCCAATCTTTTACAGTTAGACTATGTGAAAGATGCATGTGTTGAATTTTTAAAAACGCAACTGGATCCTACAAATTGTTTTAGTATCAGAGCATTTGCTGAATTACATAACTGTTCGGAATTGGTGTCAAGTTCTGAAGCATACGTTCAAAAACAGTTTGTGTATGATAATATTAATTTAATTTTCCAGTTTTCATAATTTAATTGTACCTATAATATATTAAGATTTATGATTATTATTTTTAGAGATGTGGTTAAAGGCGATGCATTTCTATCTTTATCTTCCAAAGAAGTGATTAAGTTAATCTCCAATAATGTTCTTAATGCCCCCGAAGAAAAAGTAAGTAAACTAAAATTAAAATTAATTTATAATTGACAAGAGGTGGTTCATGTTAAGTGAATCCGACTGATGTCGGAAATTGCACGGAAGCCTAAATTCCACCACTTCTTACCGCCCGGGCAAATTATTTACATATTATATAATCCTATTCAGTGGTTGCATGATGGGAAAATGTTTTTTTTTGTATATCAATAAACAAATGTTAATTGAAAAAAAACCAAAAAGAAAGTTATTATTTTTAAAATTTTAAACAATGATTTTATATGTTCTCAGAAAATTTAAAAATGTATTAACATAAAATAGATGTACTTGATTTTTGTTTAAAAACTATTAACATATTGGACAATTATAAAGTCAAATGCCTGAAGTTTGATCTTCTGTGTCTTCTGGTGTGGGTCTTAGGGTCTCCAAATTCTACAAAAAACACTTTTTATATTCATTCACGACCTTAAGTATTTTTAATTTATTTAAACTTTTGGGTTCATAAAAAAAAAAACTGGTATAGGAATATAGGATTTTTTTTGCATAATATTGTATAATTATTAAATACTATATAATTAATACTATATTCAACATAACTTAATATAATTATTTTTTATATATATATACATTTATTGGTGGTTTTGTGTCAGAAAAGACGACAATCCCAAATAGTAATAAAGATTAGGATAGAAATTGCACAATTGTAAAAAAAATTAGCTTTCTTATTTCAGTCTTAAAAGATGTTATAACTTTAATTTAACAACATTATACCATTTACATTTCTTACAATAAACTATGGTCTGTAACTGCATAATAAATGATAAAACTAAATTTAACACTAATCTACCTAGTACCTACTCATAATAATCATTCATTGACAATATTTGTATTTTAAATAAACTAATCTATTATGATGTTATAACATTTTTTTGAATCCTTTAAAATAAAATTTTATTTCTTGGCTTATTATACAAAGAGCTGTTCAACAGACCCGGTGTAAAAGATTGGGTATAAGTTGTAAAATCTAGCTTTCATAAAATTTCAAGCAGTAATATTTTTTTTGGGTAGGTGGTAAAATAGATAAATAATCTAAGTCCAAGCAAAAAAAAAAAAAGATAAAACCTTTGATGTCATATAACTACACCTAATTTAATTGTGTTTCTTTGTTGTAGGTGTATGATTGTGTTATTAAGTGGGTAAAACACAGATTAGATATGAGACGTGGTAATTTGCCTAAATTAATGGAGCATGTTCGTTTACCGTTAGTATCCATTGGTTATATATCAAAAAAAGTTGTTAAGGAACCTTTGCTTAAAAAAAGTCCTAAATGTAGGTGTTTTTTTCATAAATATGCATTTATTATCAATTTAATCTTATACAATTACAATATTGTAGGTAAAAAATTTGTAACTGAAGCTTTATATTTCCATTCACTCAAGGCACAACAGATTATCAGTATTCCACAAACAATTCAAAATACACCTAGAAAGTCTGGACAAAAAGTATTATTCTATTTTGATGAATTTAACTTAGCAATACAGTTTTATGATTTATTCTTATTAGGTTATTCTAGTGTTCAGTGATTTATTGGAAACCCACTGGTATGATCCTACAACCAACTTGTGGCAGACTTCACAAAAATTTAGTTTGATGGATTATGATGATTGTGTAGATAAGTTAACTGTAATTAAAGACTATTTTGTGTTTATCAGGGGTTCTACAAAGTCTGACGCATATGTTGCAATTTTTAATTTATCTTTAAAACCCCCAAAATTGGTAGTTTTGGAAAACATGGCAGTTTATAGAATTGAATTTGGATTTGGTGTATTAGATGGTTGTATATACATAGTAAGTTTTACATATTATAATTGATTTATTTTATATTTTAAATATAATATATTATAATACACAATTTTAGGTTGGTGGATGCGGATTTCAAGGACATTTGGATAGTTCTGAGGTTTTTGATATCCATGATGAAAAATGGCGAACGATAGCTGAAATGTCAACACAAAGAGCTAATTTAGGTGTTGGAGTACTCAACAATCTTATATATGCAGTAAATAAATATTTTATTATTTTGTTTAAAATGTATAACAAATTGTATATTTGTCAATTGTATAGGTCGGAGGATGTAGTGAAGATGATGATTCAACAATGATGAAATCTGTTGAATGTTATGATCCCAGTTATGACACATGGACAGAAGTCGAAGAAATGTCAGTATGTCGTTTTAATGTTGGTGTAGGTGTAATGGATGGTGTAATGTATGCTGTTGGTGGTGAAAATGAAAATGGATGTCTTAAAAGTGTTGAAGCATATAAACCAAGTTCTGGTTGGTCAAGTATTGCTGATATGCATTTTCCTCGAATGGGTTCTAGTAATTAAAATCATTACTTTTTTGAAGAATATCTTAGTAAAATTGTATTGAATTAAAATCAATTTTTTTAAGGTGTATTTCCATTAGATGGCTTGTTGTATGTAGTGGGTGGACGAGATGGCCAGTCAGAAAAGCAGTTGGATTCTATAGAAATATACAATCCCAATATCAATACCTGGTCCTTGGAGAAAATGTCAGAGAAAATGTCGAAGGATATCATTGACATTGTTGGTGGAGTAATTGTTGATAAGGAATTAGTCACCAAATTTAATAATTAATTAGTATGTATGGTCCCGTTGTTCATATACTTTTATAAATTATACACAATGATACATAAAGTAATGTTATATTGTAAGAAATACATAATTTTGTGTAGTTTATGATAAGCCATTTTATTGATATTTTATGAATTTTTAATTATTTAACAAATAAAGATGCTTTATAAATTAAACATTGAAACTGAATGTATGGTAATGTTTTATCATAATATATTATTTATATATATAACTTTTTTTCTATTTTTCTGCACTGGGAAGATGTATTTATTTATTTATTTATTTATTTATGTCTTCTATTGCTGGTTAGAATTTATAAGTGAATCCAATTCACTCTAGCTAGTAGTTACTTGCTACCCTTACTTAGAAATTAATCTCTTTAAGGCATTCTATTGGATTTGATTTACCTAATTATGTTTATTGCTAAATGCCTCAATGTGTTAATTACAAAAGAACTGCTTTTTAATAGTGATTTACTAGTTATTTATGCGTGTTAATGGATTGGAGTTGTTGATTGTTAAACTTTTACCACTAATCAACATCTATTTTCTTTGCAATTTGAAGGTGTTGTTTAGTTGCACCTATGTTATATTATATACCATATCGCACTAAATATGAAAAAGTACATAAAATATCATGCAGAGGTGCATAGATAAAAGAATATTATAGCTACAATTGTTAATTTTTATTATTATTTTTTTTTATTTCTATTACTCTTTTTATTTTCTTAGTTAGCCATATATGTGTACTGAATACTGATGCATACTCATAGTTATATAATATGTGGCTATGTCACACATAACTCGAGATTTATTCTCATTACAAGGAAATTTCAACTGTAAAAAAATACGTTTCTAAATATTCAAATATGACCCTGTTATTCAAGTTTAAATTCTATGTTCAACCTGGTATAGACTGGGGGATAAAAATCAACGAAACAAAATCTATCCACTGTACGTTCACACTAAGGCAAATAATCTGACCACCTATCTACCTCAACAATATACCTCTCCCAACCCCTCAAAATGTCCGATATTTAGGTCTACATCTAGACCACAGGTTAACTTGGGAAACTCACACCCACAACAAAAGACTTGCCTTGAATAATCGCTCTCGCCAATTACGCTATCTTCTCATATCACAACACATCAACTTAAAAACAAGCTACTATTATACAAACTCCTACTCAAATCGATCTGAACATACGGTATCCAACTCTGGGGTGCAGCCAAAAAGACCAACTTAAACAAAATCCAAGTCTTCCAATCAAAATGTCTCCGACAAATAACCAAAGCCCCTTACCTTGTATCTAACGACACACATAGAGATCTAGCCATTCCAACAGTCCAAAACGTCGCAAAAACTTTCTACAAACGCACTCACTCCAAGTTCCACAGCCATCGTAATCCCCTGATTTCCGAGCTATCCACCAACGCTATTCCTGGTGACCCTAGAAGGCGTCTTAAACATACCTAGTGTCGTGACCTACTGAAATAAAATTGTATGTACCTCTACGGCTCTACCTCTCCTTAATTTTGTATTCAATCTCACTTCCTCTTGCTAGCACATCAAAATAAACTCCTAACCTTAAGTGCCTCCAATGGGATCTTATCTCCTGTCACTCAAGCCATGTCTACTCCATCACATACGCTAATTGTATGATAATATTTAAAGATTGTGTATTTTAATAATAAACGATAAAAAAAAAAAAATTGTATGTAGTTTTACACAAGGGTTGCCGGGTTAATGCCCAACATTATAAATCAAGTGAACTATCAATCATCTTTACTTTTCTCAAACCAGTCAAAATGTCAAAATTGGTATCAACAGTTAAGTAATAGGCACCACAGTAATACAAATTCGAGGCTTGACGAGTACAACGACGACGACACGCTTTCACGTTTGACGTCCGGAGGCTTAATGTATGAGAGCTATACTAACCTCTCGCCGACTGTGCCTGTGCCTGCCAGATCTATGTAATATGTCGAGCGCGGGATACACAGCACCTGTTGCAACAAGTTATAAACAACTGTAAAATCGTTCATAGTCGAATCTATTCTTGATGACTGCGTGTAGGTATTTTGTTTAAACGATGTCATAACTCATAATGTAATGATCTCTAAGGGCCAGTTGTACCGTCTACGGTTACACTTCGATTACGCTTCATCAGCTGAAAACAGATTTTATAACCGGTCAAATTCGGCCGATTAAACTTCGGTTAACTTTAGTCGGAAATGGTACAACTGGGCACTGGCCCTAAGGTTTTGATGAGCTAGAGTGGCACATAAATGATAAATGTGGAACTACTGACCAAAGGTAAACTGCGTTACCAATAATCAATTTAAGGGCTATGGGCTATGCATCTTAGATAATATACATACTAGATAGAGCTATGCGTATATCACTCGTATAGTTTGCGCTTGAAGCAGACTTGCTCAGCCTGTTCGGCTCAGATGTATTTGTTACGCATGTGTCAGAAATGAAATAGGTAGCGCGGGCGCAGGGCCTTGTTTTCACCTAAAATGTTATGTATTTAAACATGACATAAAAACAGATTTTGGTACTCATGTCGTACACGATCTACCAAACTCGTTTTCGAGTAGTGCGCGATCTACCAAAAATAGTATTTAATTTACATATTATTTTTATCACAACGAAATAATAATATACAAAGATTATACAAGTATTATTTTTATAAAAAACCTTAAACTAAAAATGTTGTTTTCATGTCTGAAAGAAAATCGTCAAATATTGTATCTATGGATGGATGAAGTGATCACCACCACTCTTCTTTCAACTGCCTTTCGAGTAAAGGTGAAGCTCCGTTTACTATTATACCGTATCTTTTCTTCACAATACGCCAAAGACCCTCGATTGACTGAGTATGTGCTCCTGTACTTGGATCAATAAAATTTAAGCTATGATTTAATAATCTTAAAATCGTAAATTATTTTAGCACCGCTCGGCGCTCGGAAAAACCGGTAGATCGCGTACGACATCACTACCCAGATTTTTTTTTGAAATTAAAATTTCCAGTGTTAAAATTAATATAAATGTATTTTCATTATGAATTACAATTACGTCTATTTAGTATTTACGTCCAAGTCCGGCCCGCGAAGTATGCAACGGCGCATACTGCCATACTGGTTATCTCCTAAAATATACGAATTATCTCCCATCCTTATTATTGTAAATAAAAAGATTAGTCGTTAATATACACTGGCGCATACTAGTAACATGTCCGAAATAATGGTAATCAGTAAAAAACGACAAAGTTATAAGAAGTTATTATGAGTAATACAGTATAAAGTATTATTATTATTATTATTGTAAATCATAAGTTATTATATACTAATATAATGTATAAAATCGCCACTATAATAAAAGTAACAACAGCAGTGGACATAGCCATCCCTCTATATGGGTATTTATAACGAAAATTTGACTGAAGGTAGCGAATGACAAATCAAAATTAGCTCAAAATCAGGGACGGATCCAAGGCGGGTCTAGAGGCCCAGCCCCCCCCCAGACATATTATTTCCAAATTTTTTTTATAGTTCTACCGACCCTTATATTACTATATTTTAAATAATATGTATGTGGGCCTGTCCCAGATTTTTGCTCTGGATCCATGCCTATTCAAAATGCATTGAGGACATTTCAAACAAAAAAGAACAAATTTTAAATTCAATTTTTATGAAATTTTAAATTCTCAAGACGTAAAACTAATTAAAAGAAATTTACACATGCTCGAACTTTTATATTTTACCTAAATCACAGTGCAAACTTTTTTGGAATTGCACAACAATTTTGACAATTTAATCGATAAAATCGATATACCTAATACTTATATATGACTAATTGTACCAATATTAATACAGTTCTATTTTCAGTCTTAAGTCTGAGTAATTGAATAGAAAATGTTAATTTGGTAAAAATATTTCTAGGCCTAACGTATGAATAAAAAATGTGTAGGCCTCATTTACGTATAATATACTACATTTACTGCAACATATACTTGTATACCCTAGCCGCCAAGAGTTTTTCTATGAGTAACTTATGTTGTCGTCGACTAAAGCTTATGACATATTTACAAGGCATATTATAAACTTTTATGGTTTTATAGTGGGTATATAAATATTTTATATTTTTATATTAAATATTTGTTTGTCTTGCGCTGCTGGAAAGTATCTAGTATCTACACAAACGCCAACATAATTCGTGTCTTCACACGATTATATTAAAATATAAAATGTAGAATTTAATAATGTGCCTATTATTATTCATATTAATAATTATTGTAATGCATAATTTTATTGTTATGTACATGGTAAATTATTATGATTTATTGTCATTTTCCATCATATTTTGTTGGTTTTCTTCTACCAGCTCTTCTGCCCATGGCTGTTGTTCGCCCGAAGCGAAAATGGCATACAACACAGCCACCGCAAAACATATTATCGCCATCAGGACAGCAGTTTCGACTTCGTTAAGTATCTATGTACAAATATAATTACAGTAGTTAACTTAATTTAACACAAATAGGAAAATTAAAAATGTTTTTATATTATTACCCTATAACTCAATATTCTATTTACATAGACCCACAAAAATTTGGAAATATAATGTATGCTCAGCAATAAACTATCTATTAAACTAGCATACTTTGGTGCGATGTCCAAAACATTTATGTTGAATCCTATACCAAACAAACGTAATTTTGTTTGTGAACATTATAAAAAGTAGTTTTCATTATTGTACTTTTCACATGCTTTTAAATGTAGCTAAACTTACCAAAATTATAAAGATAATCCATTTCTTTGAGAAAATATTTGCTAATTTTATTAGTTCTTGCAGTGTGGCCAAAAACGGCTTCCAGAATAAAAATTATGCCCGCTGAACCGAAATATGAGCAACTCCAGAACTTTCTGACTGTGGAGGTGGAAATGGGTTCGATGATTTCTGGAACTAATTCTACTAGGACGACGAAAAGTAACAATAAGATGATAGTGTATGTTCTCAAATTCCATTCGAACAAGTCCTGTGTAGTTAATAATTTGTATTAAGACAGCAATATATTATGAAACAGATCACTCGCTAAAACAAAAATATAATATCACTTCTTATTGTATTAAAAAAAAACACATACTTCACCGTATACATCACTATCGTATGATTCTGTAAGTCGAGCGTCACAAAAGCATAATAAAACAATCACGAGGAGCGGCTTAGAAGTGCAAATCGATTTCCACGGGATGTCCGATATTATTGATCGGGTTAACGAAACGCCAGATGTTCCAAAAGAATATCGCGAGTTGTTTGAACCTCCAAACAAAATAAAATCGAGGTTCATTCCCCTGAATGAATAATTCCCATTGATCACGTACAACCATAAAACGTACCACGCCAATCCAATCACACCTATAACGAAGTAGGTGTATAAAATATAGGTTAGGGACCTATATATTGTAGGTTCATTTATGAGATTATTATCCTGATATTCGATATTCAATAAATCAGTATTACGATTTAATTGTGAGTAAATTACCAGTAAATAGAGTTAAAGTATAAGATGAATGTGCATCGTGGAGTTTATCAATATTATCGTAGAGAAATCCGCCATCATATATCAACACGTAAAACACTATTGGAACGTGGCGTATTGATTGTTTGTTCAGTGGGACCCAATACGTCCAAACCCTGTCAATTGACACATCCACCACGGCCTGTAGGACAATAATTCACTAAGACTTTTACTATTTACTAACGTGTGCTATGAAATCGCACTTCATAATAAAGAATCTTATTTTTACCAATGTCGTTCCTACACAAAACTGTAGGATGCAATGCGTGAAAGCGTTTAAGTAATGTATACTCATGATTATTAATAAATGGCCAATCGACGATATGGCGACAAAAATCCCTAAAATACTGAAAATACCATTATAACACTAAACTGCATTATGATAATTCTTAAACTAGGTGTAGGGCTAGGATTAATATTTAATACATATTAGTATTTTATATCATGTTGGTACTGTATGCACCCTAGTTCAAATTTAGTTTTACGAGATAATAAAAACCACGCACGTTATAACAAAAACTATTTTTCATAGCGGAATATTTTTTGTTTACATACTTTTGCACTCATGTCCAATGGTAAATTTTTGATGGCAAGAGTTTGAGTTAAGTAACTGTAAATGTATTTAATTTAAATTTAAAACGATTGAGAGGACGTTACATCCGCAAAATAATATGTTGTTTCCGTCTTACAAATGCACCTATATAACATAGCAATAAGTATAATAACTGTTTAAGGGATAGAACCACTCAGGCTGTAGTCCAAACTAAGCAACCATATTTTCACATTTTAAAGAGGAGAACATTTATATGTGCAACGTTGTTTTTATTTTTTCTATGTAACCAATATGAAAAAAGTTCTTATTGTTTTAAAATTTAAAATTTACTATTTTTGAGTTTTTATAAATTGAACACTTTTTTCCGTATTTATGATATAGAAAAAATAAGAACAACATTGTATAGTAAATGTTATTCCCTATGTAGTGTGAAAATGTGGTTGCTTAGTTTGGACTACAGCCTGAGTGGTTCTATCCCGTGCAAAACAATTTTTCTATGTTATACATTTGTAAGGCGAAGACAACATGTCTTAAATTGAAAGTATAGACATTTTATTTGTGTCTTGTACAAGTATTTTCACGAAATATACCTATTGAATAATTTACAGTAAAAAAGAAGGGTTATGAATTGAAAACGGAGGCTTATAAATTGTAATTTATAATATCTCAAATTGTATGAATTTGAAAATACAGTAAAAGTATATTTAAAAATTCTAAAAATCAGAATTTGAATAAACTTATCATTAAATTAAAAATATATGGGATCTATAGCATATTAGCATGCTTGGTAAATCACTCTGTAATCATATTTGTAAGCATAATATTTTATGCAGAAAAAAAATGCACAATTTACTACATGTCTATATTTTATAATGCAATATTACATATAAATCTTAGCCCTAATTATATTTTAGTATTGATCGATTACTTGTGAGCCGGATAAACAGTAGCTAAGACACCACCAGGTATTAAACCAATATAATATCCATCCATATTGTAAGATACGCAACCATAATGAGAAAAGTCAATCTGTAATCATATTAGGTATAATGTTATTTAAATAAATGGTTGATAATTTATCTACTTTAATAGTAGGTAGGTTATTATAGAAATCAATTTATTAAAATTTATCAATTATTTGGTATAATAGGCACTCACTTTGTTTTGTTCTCCCACAAAATCAATAAATTTATAATACATAAACGACTGAACTGACGTAATGGATACACCTATAAAAAAACAATCAGTTTATCATACACTCATGTATACTACAGTAAAAAAAAGAAAATAATAAAAGAATACCAATAACATGTTCAAAGCAGGCCTTATGTACAGATACAGATACATATTTACAAAAGTATTTAAAATATGTATTTGAATACTCAGTAAAAATGTATTTAAGTATAAACTCAAATACTTTAAAAAAGTATGTTATTGTATATGCTTTAAAATACTTTCATATTTTGTATAAAATATTTTTTTTATCTTTTAAATCAAATAAACCAATTTTAATGTTTTACGTGAATACATCGTGTATATGTCATATTATACAATAATACGATTTAAAACGATGGTATAGTTTAGTATTTATCTCTAAATTATTCTAATGCAATAAAAATCGTTGAAATCGCTGACCTCAATTCATATTCAATGTCTTGCTTGGAAATAAGTCTTCTATTAAATATAGGTAATTTTGTATTACATAAAATTTATATATCACCTAACGAAAGTATAAATAATGATCTTAATGAAATTGAACATCAAATTTTAAAAATGACAACCTCCCAAAGTAGTTTCTATTTGATGATTTTAGGTGACATTAAGGAGATAAATTGATATCTCTCAAACAAATAATGAAAATACAAACGATCATCTTAGATTATTATATAATGACGACTATATTAGTACTATAAATTGCAACATAAGATCAAATAAAAATAGTGGGTAATGTAGTATAGACCAAATATATTCAGTAAAACAAAATCTTTAAAAAAAATATGTAACTTATGTTGCTTATACAACAATAAATTACAGATCATTATTCTACAATATTAAACACCAGTCACACCTCAAACAATCAAAAAACGGTTAATACATTTAATCAAAATACATTCTCTGAGAAACTTTTAAAGCAAAATTGGGTAAAAAAATTAAACATTATAGATGTAGATACTGCATAAGAAGATTTCATAAGCCAATTAATTATCTACCTTAAAAACTGATTCCACTGATATAATACAAATTTCATCCAAAACCAAACAAATCAAACCCTGGTGTCCTTCATAGCAATTGTTTTATCAATATGATGTAGAGATCATCTACATAGTCATACTAAGGAACACCCAGTGTTGTGAAATACCTATTTGAGGGGAAGTATTTAAATACTTTTTTAATGTATTGAATGACTTCTTAAATATTTTCAGCATGAATTATACTCAGTGGTATTTTAAATACTTTTTTTTTATATTAAATATTTATTTGTATCGAATAATTTTGGTTTTTTTTCGAACATTTTACGAAATATTTGATTGGAAAAATATTATTCAGTAGAGCAGGTATTTTAGAATGAGTGGAGCAACCATTAAAAAAAATTCTTCACTGTAGTATGACAGCAATACAACATCTCAACAGAGATAATCAAAAATAATTTAAATAATTTGTTGGTACCGACCACTATTGTACATCGTATAATCTTTAACACATCCACTTCAAAAGGTATTTTTCCCGATATATTTAAAATATTAATCATTACTTCAGTTTTTAAAAGAAGGGGACAAACAGAATATGGAAACTACTATCGACCGGCGAACGATATCTATTACCTACATCAGAATATATCTCCAACATTTTCGAAAAAATTCTTAAAAATGAGGTACAAGAATATCTTGTAAAGAAATAATTTATCACATCACAATTTGGATTTAGACCAAGATAAGGCACATACCTAGGAATTTCAAATATTACAAAAGCAGTTTATAAAGCATTAAATAATAAAAAATGCACAAAGGTATACTCAGACCTTGCAAAAGTATTTGATATTGTTAACGAAGAAATATTATTATCAAAACTAAATACATAGGAATTAATAAGACAGACTTAAGCTTAATAAAATCGTATTTGTCTTCACATTCTCAATATGTAAGAATTAAAAACACAGGGCCTTATATTATAAAATACATTTGAAATGAAAAACTAAAGAATTTTAAGATTTGCTTAAATAAATGGTTAATATGCAACAAACTATGGATTTAATGAATAAATACTGTCAACAATTTAGTTTTAAATTATTAATATTAATTTATATCCGATAGTTAAGTTTTAATATAAATGAATAAAACTATTTTTTATAATGTTTTTAGGTATTTGTTTAATGTAATTAGCCAATTTCAGATAAAATTTGTTGATAAGCTCATGGGCACCCACACGAGTATGCTCGTTATTCTTTGTGAAGTAAATAAAAATAATATATTTTCATCTCTGGCAGCATTATAGGTGGTCATCGGGGGGAGGGAGGCTTAGGGGGCCTAGCCTCCATAGAAATTTCACTAGCCCCTCAAAATTAAAACTATTAAAAAAATTATTGTGATTATTCTATCCCTCCTAAAAATTCAACCAAATGTCTACCTATGGGCAGCCCACAGTTTCAATTCAAACAAGAGAACCAGAGTGACAACTCATAAATTAAAATTATTTATCAACGAGAGTTCCGATAAAATAAATATAAGATAATATTAAGCACGGTTTACCTTCTTAAAAACTAATTATTAGGGCACTCTAAGAATATTATTCTTAAAGAGTGGGTTTTAAAACCAACAAAAGTTGGTCGTATGTTGTAGACATATTTTGATATTTGTTCTCGAAGAATGTCTATTGTTCACACCTTAAACGGCTTAAACTGAAGACAACTGAGCGTTACCAGAATATCGGCAGCTAGCACACAGCTATATTTCACGAAGATTTAAATAGTCAGTGGGATAAATTATAATCGATTACACACTGCGATTTACCTATAATTCCAAGCATAACTATCCCGTATCCTCTGTTCCAATATGTAGTTTTCAAACGATCAAACCTGTCGACGAAACTGGGCGACGGTTGTTCTGGAACTTGTGAGTGAGGCGGAGAAATCCATCTACTGATCGCGTTATCTCCGAAATTCATTATTCACGTTTTAAAATAAACCAGCTGGCAGACGGGTTCATTAACAGCAGCAGCTGTGTATTTTTTTGACAGTCAAAACTTTATTTTGATTTTATTTATTTGAAAAATACAATCTGTAAGTAATGTTCACAAAAAGCATATATTATGTGATTTAGTACAATGAATAGTATGAGAACATGATTTAAGAAATTACCCAGCAGTAATACTTTTCAAGTCAAAATTTAAAATGGTTTTAATAGTTTTAGATAACTTTTTTTATAGTTGAGTATTTGAGTACCCCAAAAATACAAAAATATTTCTTTTAAATCGTTACTATAAATAAGTTCCTATTTAATTATATTTTTTATATGTGTAGACATATAGTATAATAATGTAGTTTAATAAATATTATATTTACATTAATAATTCCATCATATGTTGTACACTTATTGCCATAGTTAACGAGAGAAATGTAATTAAGAAATGTTTAAATAATGCGAATTATCAAATTGACTTTTAATAAAATATGTACCTATATTTACTTAATGATTCCGTTGTCTATAGTTAATACGACAACAACATCATGATCATATAATATCCAGTATTTACCTATTGGCTATGTTATGTTATATTAACATGGGTAATTAATTTTCTATTAATATTATAACTTCTTATACAGTAATGTCGGTATGATACTTACATCAATGCTCGATAGTTCCCCGAACGTTTCAAATGTGTAAAAACGATGAACCGATCGTGTATCTTGCAGTCTACGTGTAGTGTGAGCAACGAATAACATTAATATACTGAAATTATGTAGTGTAAAAATTATGCATAAGCCATATGGCGCAAAATAACTCTATGATTAATGTTAATGTAATACGATTATATTTATCTTCAATATTTAAAATGCATCCGCATTGAATTTGTCAATATAATATTATGTTTTTTGTCTAAAATATGGGTCATATCTTTATAATAATAATTTAAAGTTTATTTTATAATTTATTTACTGAGCATAGTTTATTAACAGTGAGACCGAGTGACATCTCTCTAGTATACCTATGTTATTATTATAACAGTAAAATGTTAATTAATTTTACATCGGTAATATCAATAATACATAGATACATTATATTAATGTGTATGTATTAATAATTTTTATATGATTTAATTTTTTAAATAAAATTTAACCATCTTTTATAATATTGAATTATTTTTCCAACGCTGAAGATATGACTAAAATTGTAAATTATATTAAATTATTGTTTTATCAGTAAACGATCATTTCAAAAATTTACTTAGGTACTTTAAGGATAATGAAAGTGGGCATTCACTAAGAATAGTAATCGTTAAATATGTAAAAATAATACAAATTATGTCATGTCAAAATACTCGTTTGCTAGCTAAATAATACTTTTTGCAACAATTTATTATCTACATAATATGAATTCATCATGTGGTTTATTGATTGTTTTAGTATTTATATGAAGCGATGTTATTTATGTTGGTACATAATGAAATTTAATCATTTAATATAAAGCGACCGACGATAAGTTTGAATAAGTTGAGTTCAGCTAGTAACATAATATAATGTCAATATTTTGAGTGACCCTTGAAAAAATATTCTGAAATTGAATAGATATATGCACTTAAAAGCAAATAGAGGGTAAGTGAATAATGCTCAAGGGTGTTCACAGGGAGGGAGTAGAGGTAGCTGTCCCATTTTGCTTTATTTTGGGTCAATTATCATATTCACATCCATTATATATTAAAAATTTTCATTTTATGATAAGGCTGCTCCTAAAATTGTTCAACTGCTACTATGACTTACTTATCAACCAAATTCAAGCTTTTTGTCTCAACGAATAACATTTTATTGACATTTATAGAATAAAAAAAGAAAAAAGAAAAAAGAAACTAGAAAATGTCAATAAATAACTTAAAAAGAGTCAGAATAATATTTTAAGAATTTTATAATGTATAGGAAATGATAAATTTGAACATTTTATGAAAATGTCAAATTCCTGCATTTAACAGTTTTTGATTGACAACAAAATAAGAAAATTATTGTTTGAGAATTTGTTAATTTACAGGTATACCTATACAGAAAGATCTAATGAATAACATCAAACTCTCGTTAAAAATTAATTTTGGCTTTCTGCTACACCTTTTTCCTGTAAATGTAGGAAAACATAAGGGAAATCTTGTATTCAATTTTTAAATCTTAGATGTAAAAAGAACATTGTTTATGAATTTATAACTAATTTTAATTTGCAAACTTTCAAGATTCTTACAAATTTTGTCAAAATTCTAAATTCAATCGCTCATAAACAATCAGTGTAGATTTACCAAAACTTTTTTAAAATTTTTAATAACAACAATTTACGAGGAACCTAGTATTACATTTTCAAGATTTTTGACAGAGCAAAAATGTATAAATAGTTCAACACGAGTCAAAATAGTTTGATATTGACAAATTTAATGGCGTAAAAAAATACAAACAATAAAATCAATGAAAATGTCATTTATCTACGGTAATTTTTTTTAAAGTTCACCAAAAGCCAAAATCGATTTTGTCAAAAACCAATTTTAATTAAAAATCTTAGTTTTTCCTTAATAATTGTTTGTTTTTCTCAAGATTTTGAAAACTATAGGAAATTTTTACTTTTGACCTTCTAAAGTATCAACTAGATTTACTTTCCTACCAGAAAGCCGAAGAATTTTTACAACCCCAAAAGGTGATGACAGACACTGAGATAAAAAAAAAAATATAAACACACATCATTGAAAAATTAATAAATTAATTTCATCGCTCAGAATTTTAAAGTTATCTCTGTAGGCATATATTATAGGTTAGGTTGGGTTACCTAGGTTTGTTTCGTCAAAGACTTTCGGATGGAATAAAAATAAAAAAAATAAAAATATGAGTACAAATATTATGCACTAATAATTTAGTATTATATATTGTACACATATTGAATTTTTTTTAATGTAATGTTTAAATAATGGCAATAATGCAATTCGTCAAATTAACCTATGATAATGGAATATATGTATATTTATCATTTGTATATTTAAGAGGACGTAACACTAGTATTTGTTGTTTCCGTCTTACCAATGCGTAATATAGCAAAATTACGCTCGGCAGAACACTTGTAGCTCCTTTAGTTTAAAAATTAGATTGAATCGACCTATTATGAAACTTGATGGTAAGAACATTATCTGCGTTTGTACTTTGGTTTTTGCGATAATTCAATTTTTAAGTGAGTTATGACCATTTTTAATTTACCGTAGGTATATTATATACATATAACTTGCTAAAAATTTAATTATCGTAAAAAACCAACGTACAAACACAGATGATGTTCTTACCATCAAGTTCTGAAATTCACTCTAATTTTTAAACTAAAGGAGCTACAAGTATTCTGCTGAGCGTAAATTTGCTATATTCCGCACTGGTATGACGGAGACAACAAATACCAGTATTACGTCCTCTTAATGAATCCGTTCTCTGTAGTCTATATACGACATCTAGGTAATCGTAATATAATGTCCAGACAACCAGTACAATATTTATGTATAATAATTAATCTTTTATTAATAATATAACTACTTATATAATTAATACGTGATACTAAAATCGATAGTTTCCTGAACATTTCAAATATTGTGTATAAATGATAATCTGGTATGTGCATCTTGCTGTCTAAGTGTGGCGTGAACAATGAATTACTTCAATGCATCACTGAAATTATATAGAGTGTATAAATTATACATAAACCGTATGCGCGAAATATTTCTATAACTAATGTCTATTTATACACATAATACGATTATATTTATCTTTAATATTTAATTCATCCTCATTGCATTCGTCAATATAATATTATTTTGTAATTTGTCAACATAACATTATAATAACTAGTTGAATTACCCGTCGCTGCCGGGTTACAGAAAAACAACCTTCTTTTTTCTTAAATAATACTTAAATTTTACAAAGAAAATAAAGATTTTACATGTGATTTAATCAATAATTTAAATTACTACCTCAAACATAATTGAACTGGACTAAAAGTGTTTGTTTTAAATTTTTTGTTATGTGAACATTCGAATTTGGTTTCCAACCACCAGTCGAACCCCCAGACGACAGATTTATATCAAGCTATAAATAAATAATATATTACTTTAGGTGAAATGGACGACAAACATTACAAACTAAAATTAAAATAGATTCAACTCTACATTGATTACAAATTGGTCTAGTTTTAGATACATATTAAATTTAACAAATTTCTCTACTGCAAAAGTTTATTTTGAATTTGTAATATGGAAGTTTTACTATTTTATTCAAAATAATATACTTACTATAAGAGTATCGTCAAAAGGTATCAAATATGTTAAATTCCCTTTCATCTCAGTTATACTTAATGTCTTTTTATTAAAATAAACATTAAATAAAATTGAATGGTTATTTGTTGAATCACAAGGATATAATTTTTGAAAGACAATACGATATTCTCCCTGTAATAAAATAATATATGAACGTTTTTGTAGATACCTCAAATTTAAATTATACACATCACATAGAGAATAATATTTACTATGTTTAATAAATCAAAGTGACTATAAATTTACCACAGGTAAGTTCGGCATAAAATTGTTTTTTGATTGAGATATTGAAAAAAATACAAAAATTACGAAAATTAGAATTTTAATCATTTTCTTGATAATATATTATATCATTAATGGTAGAGTATTTCGTAAGTATTCAACTGTAAAAATGAATAACAACTATTATTTTCCAAAATGTATTGACACATTTAGATGGATTAATACCTATACTAGAGCTGCTACATTTAAATATTGCCGGAAATTCTTATATAATTATATTGAACAGGAAAAATGTAATTAGGTTGCACCGGAAGTGTTAAATTTATAAATTTAAGTTGAATGTTAGAAAATGAATGAAAGAATAATATGCTATTAATCTATTATATACCTTATACCTATGTTATTAAAATGTCCTTAAATAAAATTATTGGATAAAGAATAAAATTGAAAATTATAAATTTTAAGTTTTCATGTAAGTAGGATAAAAAAAGTCAATTCTGCGGCCTCATCAACATCAGCTTCATCCACCTCAGGTCCCTTAAGCCATCAGAGTGATAAGATGATTTTTTCATGTGATCAATTCATTTTTCGATCAACCCAACTTTTGTAATATGAACACAAATATAGGTAAATAAAATATTTTCTATTCATGTTAATCAAATCATGGATTTTTTGTCTCTGTCTAGACTAAAAATCAAGTTAATAAGAGTATAATTCATCGAGTTTTTTCATCAGGTTTTTTTGTTTGTTATAGTTGCGTTTGATACTATAGTAATACTGCGATCGATGTAGACGTACTACATGATGCAGTACAAACTACACCAATAGACAATAACTATTAATTATAAGTATTACAATAAACAATAAGGGGGACAAGGTGACCGAGTGGTCTGACGCGTCCGCTGCGACGCAGCCGGTCGCGGTTCGATCCTTGGCCACCGGGCGGCATTTTTCTCCGGACAAGTCGCGGTGACCGGAGAACAAGTGCTGCCATCCCCCACCCCCGGGGCATGGCAGAAACCTACGGGTGCCCCATTCGAAATTCTGCCAAATCAAACACACACGTGTTCCCCCCTACCGACCCAAAACCTACAATACCTACTCTACAGCTAATGGCCACAGTTGCCGGGCTCAAGATCAATAATAAAAAAAAATAATAATAAACAATAAATCATTTTCTATTTTATTATGATACAAAAAAAAACATAATTATAAAATAGAAAATTTAGTATAAATAATATTTTCATTATATTACTATTAATAATTCGTATCAAAATGTATGTGCTTTATCCAAATTCCTTTCGGGACACAAACAGGGTTCGGCTAGAATAGTGCTTAAACAGTAAGCCCTTAAAATTGCCAACATGTCACAATATGCATGGATTTGTATTTTTTTATTTTATTTATGAGTTAATATATTTAAGTATTTTTTCGATAAACATAATATTATGATATACGCGAGAATAACGGCCTCGTACTACGTATGAATATAATATTAAATAATAATAGTATAATATAATAACATTTTTCTAACATAGAAAAATGGTCAATTATTATTCCATTGTTGTCATAATACCTATTATTTTTCAAAGTCCCTACAATCCCAATAAATATATATAATTTATTCAGGATTCTATGTTTAAATCACAAAATAAATACTTTGCATTATATAACTTCAAATCTCAATTTACTTATCAGATTTTAAGCATTTTATTCCTAGCCAACCACTTTGAAATTGAAACTTAAACTGATGATGTCAAGTAACTATTTTATTCATCTTCGTGTTTTGATCGGCATCAACATTCTTAAATAGTAAATAGTAAATACTAATACATTTTATTCTATTATTAATTAGTACATTTTTAAAAACATCAGACATTTAGTTAAATATCTTATTATGGTGAAGGTATAACGCATTGCTCAGACTCGTGAAATGTAATTACGATTCAAAAATGTGAGTGTGGTAATAATAATTAATAATAACAATGAATATTTGAAAAATTCTTCAAATTTAGCAACATAAATTAGATTGTATATAAAAAATTATCAATGCTACTTTCGCTTTCCCACCAGAAAAATCCTTGTCAAATTACTCACACGGTATGAAAAATATAAGATGGGGGGGGGGAACTTCACGCTACACCCCCTTTTGAGCTACGAATTGAAATATGCTGCTAACATTTTGTAAATAGCCCCTAACTTATTTATAATTTCGAGTCCAAAAATCATACCAATCATTGGTGTTTATACGTGGGTGTAGTTTATACTGTTTAATGTTAATAGTATAATTTAAAATTATGTTATGTAACACACAATTGAAATATACTACTTACAGAAGTATTTTACAGAATATATCGGGCTACTATTTAATATAAGTTTAATATAGAATAATTGTTTCTTAGCCTTATAGACTTCATACATGAAAATATTACAATAAACATAAATTAATAATTTATTTTTTTAAATGTATTTATTAATTCTTTTTACCCAATATTTGTAGGAACATAACATTTGTTATTGAATATTATAAGCTCATGGTCATCAAATAAGAGCTCACATTAATTAATAACAATTTTTATTTTGTTTTGCTATTAAATAGATTATGTTTTTCAGATCTTCAAATTTTATTCATTTTAAATTTACTATATTAATTTTTAATTATTAAAGTTAGAAATCGTGGTTCATGGTTCTCGTCATTTATTATAAAACGTCAGGACTATACATCAAAAACATTTTTCGCCACCAGACTGTTTCAATCCTTTGCGGACTTTTTCTCATTTTGGTGCCGGATCCTGGAGTCATGTCACTATAATAGAATTATTGGTAAAAGGAAAATTGAAAAAAATAAAATTGATTCAATTAATTATTGATTCTTATTACTTTTATTTATCTTGTAACAAACGCTTAATATAAATTCAAAAATAATAAAATATAAAATTTTTGTTTTTTTGTTTAATTAAAAAAAAAGACATCTCTTATTGCTATAGTTGACTTTTGTACCAATGTACATGTCTTTATTTTTTACTTTTTCACATATAAAATTACATGTAGTTTTATTTTTGTTGAACTAGGGGTACTTTTAATTTTTTTTTGCCAAATCTGTGTGCACTTCTCATCAATTTACACGTACTACATACGCTGTATAATGATCATGTCCTTAAAAAACTGCTCCGGATAATAGATATCTAAAATGATTTAAAACAATTAATTAAATTATATATTATTTTGAAATAATTATATACAATACCTGTCATTGTAAATTGCCAGACTACACTGCAAGTCAGCCAATGAGTACCTACTCTTGATATTCAGTAATTTAATCTGTTTCAATAAATAAATGATTTACTAGAATTCTTGTTACATTTAAAAATCCCAAACAGTTTACTTCTGTGCATTTAGTTTTTTTACTTCACTGTATTCATTTAAACTAAACTCCATATCATTGAGATTGCTGAATGATGATTTTAAAATTATTGTTGGACTCGGTATAGTTTTCGACGTAGCACAGTTGAAACACAGTCGTTTTTCAACGGCGGATGGCACACTTTCAAACCACGAAAATTATAAGGAGTTGTGAGCTGTATATAGCAAATAGGTACATAAGACTGCGAGTAAACTGCATTAATATTTTCTTTTTTAGATTGTGTGAAATTTGGAAAAATTTTCCAAAATATGCAAATCAAGCACAATAACGTAAAAATAAGCGGTTTCCGGCAAAATGTATGAACTATGCAAAATATGTACATTCAAATTTTAGATTTGGTATGAATTTATTTCGCACTCTGCTAAATTTTACAATAAACAAAAAAGTATGCAAATGCTATACGTCCCGAACCTTGGTCATGAGGTTTTCTCCCCCGTCACTTACCTTTATGCGAGAGCTTTATAGTTAGGTACCTACACGGCTGTATATATATTACATTATTTATTACATTATAGTGTAGTAGTATAATATAATCACACAATTTTTTAGCAAATACTGCACACTATTATAGAATAATATTGTTTGATAACGTATTAATGCCGAGCCTAGAGAGAATATATTAAATTCACGATTAAAGTATCCATTTTTTTTATTACTTCTGTAAATTTCAAAGCCTAATTTTGAATTTTTTTCATGTATCGACACTTCTAGAGTTTTATATTAAGTTATAGTTTAACCGTTAAGACTAAAAACAATATTGTGAGATGCCGGACAAAAAATTGTACTCACGACAGTAGGGTATCTAAATGACCTATGCCTAACCTAACCAAAGAATTCAAAAACTAGAAAACTGATAACAACATATTATATTATAATATCTATCATCTATGGCAAAAGCCGATCGTCGTCACTCGTCGGAGACGATTCACAATTCTAATAATTTCATTGAACAAAAGAGAAATGTGTAAGGCAACAATAAACATTTGCTCACATATTTCATTCTACTCAAGTAATTTTTATAAAAAATCTCGATTTTTTCAGTTCGGGTTTAGATGAAGAAAGAAGTTCCTCGATATGGCGTCTGCACTCAAGATATGGCCTTGCAGCTATATATTACCCGAAGAGTCGATGTATACGTAAGTTTGATTACCTATTCTTTTGGGGCTTACATATTTTACTTTTTAGTCTCAAAATTAAAATTTATTGTCACAGACAATTTGCTACCCGGGTAAAGTAGGGGCATATTTTTTGTTCCCGAGCGCGCAACACAAAAAAATACGCTTATAGCACAAACGACGACGGCATATCCAGGTCGCAGAATAATAACATATTTATACAATTAAATAGATATAAATAGTGTTGTACATACTAGTCATACTACAGTAGTACAGTACACGGGAGTTCTTATGTCCCGCAAAATTCAACAATTTTTATTTTTAGTTTATATAAATGTTGAGTAATATATGAATATTACTATGCCGTCTGCTTGTGGTCGAACCGCGAATTAAAGTGACGCCGTCGTACATCAAACATCAAATTATTTTATAAAGCTGGGAAAGTCGCTCTGCTGATTATTGAATATCAATTGGAAATTAAATAAGGACATTTTAAATTTTAAATATTCTCGAATAGCTTAAAATATACCTAA